AATATAGTATTTTTTTGTAATATTTTAAATTTTTTCTTATTTTATAAGATAATAACTTCATTAACTTAATTTAAAAATAAAAATAGAATATCCCTATATTCTCTAATTTATTTTCCTTTCTAAATCGTGCACTCTAACTCTAATTTTAAATTTTCAATTCACTTGTAACTCTATTTTGAGAACTCTAAATTTTTAATTTCTTCTTAAAATAATATTCTGATTCTCTTAATTAAATTTTAAGAAATATCATGCTAGAAGTTTTAAAACTATATAATAGAACTAAATTTGATATTATACTATTTTTGGATATTTGGTTAAAAAGTTTTGAATTTTAATTATGAATGCTTCTAATCATTCCTAATGACATTTATGTTAAATTTTAATTGCTTTTAACAAGGTTTGAAAGATGGGATTGAATCATTTGTTGCATTAAGGAAAAAAAACAATTTTAACCTTTAAGAATTACTTGTACTATATTTAAAATTTAAAGTTATCTTTTATTATTCTTAATGCCTGTAGTGATGTAGTTAAGAAGAATTTTCAAATCTTTTCAATTTTTACAATTGTAAATGAGTATAATAACTTGTTTATAATTTGTGCATTTTATTATGTTTTTAGTAATTTGGATGTTAATGTATTTTATAGCTATATTTTCTATTTAATGTTAAAATTTTTTATATTATCTTATATATTTAATAATGTTAAAAACCGATAAATCCGACTGAACCACACCGATCCGATTTAAGTTGGATTGGTTTGGTTATCATATAATAGTGAATTGGATTGATTTAAAAATTTTATTAATCGATTAAATTGAATTGGTTTTAAAAATATTAAAATCAGAACTAAACCACACCGCGAACACCCTTAGGCCTCCTACTATTTGAGTAGGCTCCTTGAGCCTTTCCTTCTTAACTGCTTCTGAAAGCTGTGCTCAAGGTTTTGAAAATTGGATTGGACCAATCGGTCGGACCGGCTGACCAATACCTGATAGTCTAAACAGTTCGAGTGCATCTTTCAAACCATTTAAACGATTAAATTGTTTGAAACCACACAAACCGATAAACCATTTGAAACCGCTCAAACCATTCAACCAGACGGTTCAATGCTTGAGCATAAAATCTTGAGAAATTTGTCTCTAGCGAGGTTTGAACTTACAACCTTGAAGCCTTTATTTTGATCCTTTGCCACTAGGACGATACAATCCTTTGGTCAATTGGTGCTTGGACTTTTATTTAACCCATATAAATCCCAAAGATTTTAACCATATTGCTGATGACAAGCATGAGATTCAAACACTCATTCTCCATGTTGTGGAACAAAGATTTTTCCACTTGTACAGAACATTCTTTTTTCAATTGGATGCTTTACAATATATTTATTCTACTTTTAAAGCACAATTATATTAAAGTTTGTTATTAGGGGGACTTGAACTTCAGATCCCTCTTATAGAATATCACAGCAACCTACTAGTGCAACCCACCTGCACTGTGTGAAATCTTTTACAAAATCATATATTTATAGTATTTGATCAACCCGGTGGTTTTACCAATTAAATCGATTAAACCATTTAAACCACGAACCGGAGGTCAAAACGGTTTGACCTTCAGTTTGGGTTTGAAAACATTGGCTGCGCTACAGTTTCACTAGTTATTGCAGTTAACAGCTTATCAACTTCCCATTCTATATCTTCGGAGTCGAGTGCCACGTTAACTAAATCATTGACCATCCCTTCAATAACCCTTGCCTATAAATTTTTCCTTTCTGAACAGCAAAGAATACTTGTATTAAGAAAATTGAGCACAAGGGATACTCAAACCCTTTTACAAACAAAAAATATGTAAGCCAATTATGTTAATCCCATCTTTCAGACCTAACCTTCTCCACTTTATTTTTTCCCAACACAGTTAATTGTAAGGCATGACACCGGATCAAGTAACCAGTCTAAAAGATTGAAATGACACCTAGCTTTCCTTGCCTTAATCCATACAAAAGATCTCATTTGAATAAGTTCAAGTAGCTTACCCCTACGCACCTCTGAATTGTGGAAAATCTTTTGGTTTCATGTGAGCCACACATACCACACCACTATATTCCAAATGCAATCCTGGCCTTCTATGATACGTGGATCTTTGGTCCAGGCCCCAAACTTTTCAAAAGTTTTCTAATAGTCATTATTTATTGTTATGGTAATCCCCCACCATCTAGCACATGCCATCAATAGCCATCTAGTTATTGTGCAATTTAGAAACAAATGGTTAGTGTCCTCGTCCTTAACTTCACACAAAGTGCAACTCCCTTCTCCCATATCTTTGATAATTCCTCTTTTGAACAAGTTCAACTTCGTTGGAATTCTATCCAGCACTACTTTCCAATTGAACGTTGCTATTTTACTCGGGAGAATAGGATTTCATACTCTCTTGAAGGTTTTTGCTTCGTCCAGTCCCTTCCCTTCCTTTGTCAGTACAGAGTAAGTTGTTGTGGTAGAGTACTGGCCATCTTTATTATGTTTCCATTCCCATTTGTCTAGACGTCCTAGGGAAATCTTCACAGCCTCTATCATCTTGTAGATTTCCATAGCAACCTCTTCCTCCCATTGAAATATGGTTCTTTTCCATGTGAGGTACATTCCCATGTTCCATTGTACTTAGTGCCCATTTGGTAGTAGTCTTTTGCTTTTCTTGTTGACAATAAATACAATATAGGAAACTTATTAGCGAGGCATCCCTCCTCGCATCACTCATCCCACCAGAAACTCACTCCTTTCCCCTCTCTTTCCTTTATCCTAAATCCCTCCGACAATCAGCCAACATTCTCCCCATCCCCAATATTAAGAGCACGAACATCTCTCCACCATAATGAGCCTATACTTGCATAATCTCTCACCCAATCTAGCCAATGTCCCCTTCCCTTGCCATATTTCCCAACAATGATTTTCTTCCACAATCCCTCTTCATTTGTCACTAATCGTCCTCATCACTTTCCCATCAATGCCAAGTTAAATTTTCTCAAATCCCTCACTCCTAACCCTCCATCCTCTTTTTGCTTACAAACCTTTCCCAACTAACCCAATTGATTTTTTCCCATTCTTTCCGCCCTAAGAAATTTCTACAAATTTTATCAATAGAATTGAGTATACTTTTGGGGATGAGGTAGACTAACATCAGGAACACGGGTAAGCTAGACAACACATAGTTAATGAGCATGATTCGACCTCCAAGAGATAAATGCCGACCTTTCCAACTAGCTAGTTTCCTTTTGAAGGAGTCTACCAATGGTTCCCACATTGCTAACTTTCTATGATTCCCTCCAATAGGAATTCCTAGGTATTTGAATGGGAATTCTCCTACATTGCGGCATAACCTGTAAGCCATTCTCTCTTTCCAATCATCCTCCACTCCGATGCCCATTAGCTAACTCTTCTCATAATTAATTTTCAATCCCAAGACCAAATCAAAAGTCCTCATGATGCATTTGCCCACCCATATGTTGTCATCTGTGCCTCACCAAAAGAGATCGTGCCATCCACAAATTGTAAATGGGACACCATCACCTCACCATTATTGACCTTCACCCCCTTATATAGATCCTTCTCAAGTGCAAAAGACACTAGTCCATTCAACCCCTTCACCACAATCAAGAATAAAAAAGAGGATAATGGGTCACCTTGTCTTATCCCTTTGCTAACTTGGAATTGCCTTGTTAGGCTTCCATTGATATAGATTGAAACCATGCTTATTGAAGCCACTTCTATATCCACCATTTTCTCCACTTCACATTAAAGTCCATCCTTAATAGCATATAATCTAAGAATTCCCAACACACCTTATCATATGCTTTTTGAAATCAATTTTGAATAGGAAGCTCCTCCTCTTTATCCTCTTTGCGTTTTCAATCACCTTGTTTGCAATTACAACACTATCCACCAACTGTCTCCTTTTGATGAAAGCCATTTGTTGCTCCTCGATAATTTTGTCAAGCACTTTTCAGAGGCGATTTGCTAATAGCTTTGCAATAATCTTTTACATAATCCCAACAAACAAAATGGGTCGTACTCTTCTATTCTTTGGGGATTCTCTACCTTTAGGATTAGAACAATGAAAGAAGAATTTGAATCTCTTACAAGCCTACTCGGCTTATGGAATTCTTGAATGAACCCAACCACGTCGTGCTTTCTATCCTCCCACATGGTCTTTGTAAATTTGAAGTTGAACTCGTCTGGCCCCGATGATTTTGTAGATTCACAATCCCAAATTGCATTTCTAATTTCCTCTGCAGTGAAAGTTGCTGTGAGGAACACATTATGTTCCTCGGATAGTTGTTTGAAGTTTACGCCATCAAGCTTTGATCTATGCCACTTGTCCTCTATCAACATCTCCTTAAAATATGTTGCCACCTCTTCTCTTATCTCGGCCACACCCATATGCTGCTCGCCATTAATCTAGATGCTATTCATTTCATTCCTTCTCCATCTTCCTTTCAAACATCTATGAAAAAATTTTGTGTCTGCATCCCTTCCTGTAGCCAGATCTTCCTTGACTTTTGTTGCCACATGCTCTCCTTCATTTTTAAGTTCTTTCAGAGGTCAAGAAAGCAACTTCCTCTCTTTTCAATATCCTCTACCAAGAGTTGTGCAATCTCTCCTTTCTTATCTAGTACATATATCTCCCTTTTGGCTTCATTTATTCTGTTGTCCACATCTGTCATATATCTACCGCTCCATTCCTTCAAGGCTTGCTTTGTTCTTTTTAATTTTTTCGTGAGCTCAAAGCCCTTCCATCCTTTAATCATTGTGGAATCCCACACATTTCTAATAATTTCCTTGCACCCTGGTTGTTCCATCGAAATATCAAAAAATTTAAAAGGTTTTGGCCCCCAATTAATCTTCTTATCCTTTAGTAGAATAGGACAATGGTCTGACACTGTTCTTCTCAATCTCCATTGTTTCACATTGCTCCACTTCATAAGCCATTCTTCGAATAACAAGTACCTATCAATTCTACTCATGTATTGGCTATTGGAGTTGTACCAAGTATATTTTCTTCCCACCAAAGGTAAATCAACCAAACCAGCATCATGAATAAAGCAATCAAACTCTCTCATTTCCCTCAATACCTCCCTGCATCCTACCCGCTCCCTAACTTTTCTTATAGCATTGAAATCACCTTCTAAGCACCATTTACCCTTCCTACTATTGATCCAATTTATTAGCTCCTTCCATAGAGCTCTTTTACCGTCAATTGACATGGGAAATATAAATGTTCAAAATACTTACAAGCATTTGATCCTCCCCCCATACCCCAACCACTCCAATATAATTATTCCCCTCTAGAATCTCTTTTTTCTTTTTTTTAACACTTTTGCATTCCACACACAAAGTAGTCAACTAGATAAGCCTTTTGAAGGTTTACATACCCAGTCAAAATCATCACATCCCATAATCTTCTACACATATGCCCATCAACAACCTCCATTTTAGTCTCTTGAATCACTAGGAATTCCACTTTCTCCTTCCTAACAAGATCTCTAATTTGTCTTTTTTTACCAATCCCTCCAAATCCTCTACTATTACATGATAATAGTATCATCAATATTTTTACTTACCTTCTTTGCATCTCCTACATTTTGATTTCCCATCTTTGCCTTTGCATGTTTGTCTTTGCGCTCTATTTCATCTATTTGTTGCAAAATCTCCTCTTTGTTCTGTGTAGTAGTGCCAAGCTGTTTTGCTATTTCCCATATCTCCTCACCTAGCTGATCTCTTATTTGCTTCCTTAATACTATGTTACAATTTTGTATTCCATTATCCCCAATAGAATCCCTCGCAATTTTGCCTTTGGGGCTCACTGTGAAATTCAGCTCTGTCTTCCCTTCCATTTGCTGTCTGTTGTTCGTTTTTCTTTCTTTTATTTTTGACACCCCTTTTTCAGCCACTCCAGATTTTCAGTACACCACACAACACAAACTAACCTTCTTTTTCCTCTTCTTTGAAATCCCCTTTGCTTGCCTGTTCAGCCAGTTCTGCACTCTTCTTTCTTCGCTTCTACGCTCTTCCTAGATGAAGTCTTCATCACCACTTACGTCATTTTCATCACCCAAATTGCTACTTCTAGAGTCTTTATTTACACTAATCGGATTTGAGCTTGTCTCCACTCTTATTTTTTGGGCATTCCCATATTAATTGATTCATCACAACTTGGGTTGCACTCCTGTCTATTGGGCTCCCCCTGTTGGTTCATCTTACTATTCTCCTTTGAGCCTATTCTTTTCCCATCATCCTCACCTGAACCCACTTTCATTTCAATTTTTCCAATCTGACACACATCCCTTTCAACCAAAGTAGT